AAAGGAGGCATGCTACACTCCTTTCCCTCCTTTGCCTTAGAGAAGCCTTAAGTTGTACAGTCTGCTGCAAGCCACTGACCCCCTTTTCTTTCTTCTTAACTGCTCCTGGACATTCAAACCATGCTGGTTTTGTCAGCTCTCCTTGTAAGAAACCAGCTCCTTGGACAGCTCACCAAAAGGCTGGAATGTTGAAGATATGCTCCACTCCTCTCATTTCCTCCTGAGGCTGAATCCTCAGGTTCTGTATCTTTTCTCAAATCTCTTGAGTTGTGCTGAGCACAGAAAGCTGTCCACTCCTTTTCCTTTGTTCTTAACTGCCCTCAGGCTTCGGAACCCTGCTGGTTTTGTTAGTATTCCTTGTGAGTTGGGACAGAAATGGGCCCCTCAGGGAGCACACCGAAAAGCCAGATGTTGGATGCACACTCTACTCTCTTCCTCTAAGGGAGAAGTCCTAGGTCAAGGTGATTTCTCTTGATGCTGAGGTGTGCCAGCTTTGTGGGGAGGGGTTGACCTGGGTAAAATGTTCTTACCTGTTTCAATGCAACTCTTTTTGGTTTTGTTCTTGTCTGGAGTATGATAATCTCTTAACTGGTTTCTGGACATTTCATAAAGATATTTTGGTCTATATGTCTTTGTTAAATCAGTCTTTCTGAGAAGCTGTGAGAACTGGACCTTCTAGTTCTGTTTTGACCTTAATTATTCATTTGGTCTCAAGCTACTGCTTTCTGTTCTTTTCATTTTAACCATAACCATGCATTTCTATTATTAAATACAGTAATTTCTCAAATGTGCCAGCTTATTTCATACCGCTGCTTTCTACCCAGAACATCTTTTCTTATTCTTTGGATCAGTCAAGGTTCATTAAAAACCAGAAAAGCATGTAAAATGCCATTTGTTAAAAGAGTGATTAAAAGTGTGGACTCTAGAGCTAGCTAGCTTAGGTTTGAGTTTTGGCATTGCCATTAATTAGCTACTTGACTTTTGGCAATTTACTTACCTGTGCCTCAGTTTATTCACTTATTAAAATGGAGATGAACTATGTCCAATCTCATTGGGTTGTTATTAGGATTAAATAAGTTAATCTACATTAAGTTCTTAAAACAATGCCCAACACACCGTAATTTTTTAATTAAAAAAAAAATTAGAGCGTAGGTCACAGAAGCCTTGGGAAATCAAACTAGGGCAGTTCTGAGTGTCTCAGTGGCAAGGTGCACAGGCCATCTGTTTGCCCTCAAATGGCTTGACTCCAGCTGCTTTCTATCCTTTTAGTTTTTTTTCTCCAGATTTAGATTTCTAAAAGAGAACATCTGATTGACTGAGTTTGAGTCAAATGCCCATCCATTAAGGGCAGTTAATCAATGATGTGGTGTTAGGCCAAATGAAAAGCAGCTTCCCACTGTACTGTCCACTGAATGGACAGACTCAGCTCATACTACATTTCCTGTGTCTTCCCTCATTGTCCCCATCAGGGTTCTTGACTACAACTTTGTTGTCAAGGCTTCACCAGAGACTGGGTAAGACTTGAGAAGTTGTGTCATTTGCTGTGTCGATAAGTCTGTCTCTGCTCCTCAGTTGGTAAGCTCTTCGGAGTCAGACCCAGCTTCCTGTTTTCCTGAACTTAGTACAGGACCTGGCAAAGAGTAGACATTCAATAAAGTTTGAATGAATGGATGAATGAATGAATAAATAAATAAATAAAGGTTGAAAAATATCCCCCAAATTCAACCTTCCTTTACTCCCCTGACTTGATTTCCTTCTGAGGCTGGCTCCCATTGACGTCCTGTACTTTCTAGACAAGTAATATCAAGCTAAGTGGCAATTAAAACTCCAGAAACAGCCCCAGTGGGATTGAGAGAATAAGCACTGGGTGGGTAAGAGTTTTTCAGGTGAGTCTAGGCAGCCTGAATGATAACTTGTTCCAACAAAATTATTATGTTGGAAATAGAAGGGGGATAACAAAGGTTGAGACAGTTAATAAAATGGCAGTAGTAGAGTTAGTACAGGAGGAGAATCCTGAATGTTGTCTTTTTGTCTGTCTGTTCTGCTTTCATTTAGCATAGTGGTTCTCAAACAGGGATGATTTTTGCCTCCCAGGGAACATTTGGCAATGTATGGAGATGGTTTTTAGTTGCCACAACAGGAGGGGGCTGTGTGCTACTGGCCTCTAGTGGATAGAGGCCAGGGGTGCTGCTAACATCCTCTCGTTCTATGCATGAGATAGCCCCTCACAATAAGGAATTATCCAGCCCCAGATGTCAGTAGTGCTGAGATTGAGAAGCCCTTATCTAATTTGAAGCTTCACACCTCAACATTTCTCCAAAGGAGAAACAGGGGCAATATGGCAGGTATAGTAAGATTAGTTAGTCACCGCTTCCTGAATGCCCATGAATGTACAGTTGCCTAAATTTGGCATTTTGAGGACTACAAAAAGGTTTGTATTCCCTGTTCTTCCTAGACCATTTATGAAAACAACTCTTGTATATCCAGAGGAAGGCAAGGCATGGTAGGCACCAAGTAAGTGCTTTATGGAGGAAGGAGAAAGGAAGATGACAACCTAGGCTGGAGTGGCAAAGGTTTTGGAAGCCGAATAACTCAAAGCATTTGGGAAGAGAGTTGACTAGAAGAGATGGACTAGATAGGAGAGTGGTAGGAAATCTGGTTTAGCATATTGTATATCCACATGTTATACATTAATCATTATTTCATTTATGATGGCCCATGGAGGAGAGACTATGTTAAATCCAGAGTACCTTACTGGGTTTGAAACCCAAGGAAGAAACATTTAACATTTGGACTCTGTCGTTTTGGTCCTTTGGTTTCTTCTCTCCTTGACCTATATTTACCCCTTGTGGATAATCCCACATTTGCATCTGTGGTCATTAGTGTGTTCCAGAACTCCAGAGTAGAGTCTCTGTGGGTTGCATATGGTCACCGTACATCCCAGAAGTATCTCAAGTTCAGTAATTCTGGAAGTCAGCTCATTTTTCTTGACTCTTCCTTTTTTAATGACAAGTTCCTCCTTCTATCTTACTCATCTAAGTTGATTTGTTCATTTAGTCACCATTTACCAAGCACCTGGACACTTAGGAGAAAGATGAATAAGACAGTCCTTTTTGCCAAGGATTCTGTGTAATGGGTAAGGTAGATACATAAATTGGTCATTAAATATAGCATGAAAATTCAAGTGATATGGTGTATTAGTCCATTTTCATACAGCTGATAAAGACATACCTGAGATGGGGCAATTTACAAAAGAAAGAGGTTTAATGGACTCACAGTTCCGCATGGCTGGGGAGGCCCCACAATCATGGTGGAAGGTGAAAGGCACTTCTTGCAGGGCAGCAGACAGGAGGAGAGTGAGAGCCAAGTGAAGGGGTTTCCCTCATAAAACCATCAGATCTCGTGAGACCTATTCACTACCACAAGAAGAGTATGGGGGAAACCACCCCCATGATTCAGTTATCTCCCACTGGGTCCCTGCCGCAACACAAGGGAATTATGGGACCTATAATTCAAGATAATAAAATGAGATTCAAGATGAGATTTGGGTGGGGACACAGTCAAACCATATCATCTAGGATATTTGGAAATAGAGGAGGGATATGTCAGGATGCTAGCCTGGTGAAGAGGAGGGTCAGGGGATATCAGGCACTGTTGCCTAGAGGAGATGGTGTCTGAACTGATCTTAAAAGATGGAGAGATGGGGGTTGACCATGGAAAGATAAGCAGGAAAGAACATTCCAAGTGAAAGGCCCTCTATATGCAAGGCCCAGAAGAAAGAAACAGCAGAGCATGTGCAGGGAACTCACACAGTTTGGGCTGCTGAAGCATGAGTTACAGGGTGAGGAGTGAGTCCAAAGAAGACCATAGAGGGGATCACTACCCAAGCTCCCAACTTCCTTGTCCACAGCACCCCCTGCCCCTGCATCCTACTGCATGTTTCAAAAGCAATCAGTTACCAGTTTCAGAAGTGCTGCCTTGCTGTTGTCTGTATGATCCATTACATTCCTCCCATTTCATCATAATTCCTATAGTTTTCCTGGCCTTATCACAGCCCCTCATCCTCCCCAACCCTCTGCTCCTACCCATGGACCTCTCAGTTGATTTCAGGCTCATTGTTAATAAGGGCTTGTATCCAGGCATATTTGCCTCACTGTTAAGAATCACTCCTCTGTACCTTCATCTGACTAGGTATTCACTATCAGGCAAGTAGCATGCACTTTCAGGCTCTGTTCAAATGATCTTCCTCTATTCCATGTTTCCTACTCATGTGAATTCTCCTTCTCCCGAAAGCTGCTATTTGTTTTCTTTCCTCTGTGAGATCACAGTACTTTGCATGTATTTCTTTGCTTATATAACCACATGTATCATATGCCCCGAGAGTCAGATTGACGTGTGTTCAAAGGATATCTATCCTTTATTAGCGGTGTCACTCTGGGCAAGTGACTGCACCTGATTTTGATCTTTTCTGTCTTCATTTGTACTTAACCACACTGTTACACTGTGTAACATTAGCTCTGAGTGGTAGAATCAGGCTTGCAGTTCTTTTAACCCGTAGTGTTGATAGCTCGGTAATTTTAATTCATTGTGGTCCAGGCGTTATAGAAAATTTAGCATACTTATTAAAAGGTCTTGAGCCTGACAACTTGTTTTCTAAAATTATCTTTGCTTTTCCTTATCTGTATGTTCTTAGACAAGTTATTCCACTTCTCTAAGCCATTTACTCATTTTTTAAAATATGAAGAGAATAGTAGTAATACCTCATAGAGTTTTTTAGTGTGAGTTAAATAAGTTAAAGTATATAAAATGTTTGTCCCGTGCAAGACATGTAGCAATAGCCAACATTTATTGAATGCATACACTTATGAGATAACCAACTGTCCAGAACAATGTGTGGACATTTATTTGCAAGCCCAATTTTCTTATCTTTTTTCTTTGAAATCCTTAAAGATAATGGCCTTCTGTATATATTGGGAAACTGACTTTTCTTTGTTCCACAGACAGTTCCTAGAAGTTATGGCTAGTGCTCTGACTGGTTATCTTCACTGTATTTCTTCTAAAAACTTACTGGATGCAGTGTATTCATTTTGCTTAATGAATTACTTTCCTCTGGCTCCTGTTAATTGTCTTCTCCAAAAAAACGTCATCAGTGAGCTGCTGACATCAGGTAGGATATCACTGCACAATTGTGACCAAAATAAGGCACTAACTAGCTACCACATGAGTCTGAATGGGGACTTAGTTGGAGCAGCATTAGTTGAAATTTGCAGAATAGGTGTTACTGTGGAAAAGGCTGTTAATGGTGAAGTCAAAGGATAGTCTTTCAAAGCAGCAAACCTGCGGACCCTTTGATGACAAGCCTACATGTTGAAAAAAAGGAATGCATCATTATTATTCCTTTTATGTACACTGTATCCATCTATACAAGGCGAAATGTTCAGGTTGTTATTCCTGCTTTGATCAGACCTGTTTGTAATTCCTAATCCTTACTTATCACGTTTGAAGCCAACCTAAGTCAACTTTTACAGCTGTAAACACTTGATCAATCACTCTTGGCCTGTGATGAGGGCACATCTGTTAGATGAAGAAACCAAATAGCCACCAAACTGATTAGTTCATTTTGGTTCTTGGAACCAAATTAACTGTTGCCTTTTAGTCTTTAATATTAAACAATGCAAAGCAATACCCAGGTAGATGTACAAAATTTGATGATGTATCTGAGAATAGAGTAGTTCAAAATTTCTTTTAAAAAACAATGTTATAAAATCCCAGAGTTGAGTTGTGAGGAATCAGTCAATACCACATGCTAATTTTTCAGGCAAAGTGTAATACTGGACAAACAGCCTTGAACCCAGAAAACCTGGATTCGACTTCCAAGTTTGCCTTAATTATGAGGCTTTTTAGCATTCCTAGGCATTTCCTTATCTGGAAAATGAGAAGTTTAGACTAAATGACCCCTGAAGCCTCAAGACCTTATCAGGTGCAGGGCTTTGGTTTAGACACTATGGAAAGCAGGGAGACACAGAGAAAGTCCTTGTGATAAGGAGATAATTAGAAATACAGGTGTATTCATATATATATTTATTATTTTATATAGATTACTAAACATATATTAATATGGTTTTTTAATGTTGCATTTGTTTCTTAATGATATATTTTCTTCCTATTTTAGATGACATGGGGAAGAATGTCCACAAGCTGCATATTTTGGATACTTGTCTAAAACTTGATGATACTGTTTATCACAATGACATAGACTTATCACTCCCACAGCTTCCACAGGAGCCACCGTCACTTCCAAACACAAAGGTGACAGAGGTGCTGAGCAGCCTTCTGGGAGGTGAAGGACACTTCTCAAAAAATGTGTACTTGCCACACAATTATCATATTGGTATGGGACATTATTATTATTTCCCTTCATTTTATTGTATTTATTTCCCTTTTTTCTGACAAAAAAATTAGGTAATTGTGGCAGCAGTTCAGTGTAGTGCAGCATTGCCTCTGAAATTAGCCTGATTCTTGCCTCATAACCAATAAATTGAATTCTACACATTTATTAATAACCCCGTCTCTACTAAAATTGAATACTAGCTAACTAGTATCTGACACATAGTTAGCTCTCAGTATATTTTAGCTACTGCTATTATCATTATTCATAGTACTATTAAATATTTTAAAACAGAAAATCACGTGGGGCTGGGCATGGTGGCACATGCCTGTAATCCCAGCCTGTGTGAGGAGTCTAAGGCAGGTGGATCACTGGAGCTCAGGAGTTTGAGACCAGCCTGGCCAACGTGGCAAAACCCCATCTCTACGAAAAAAAAATACAAAAATTAAATGAGTGTGATGGTATATGTCTATAGTTCCAGCTACTCAGGAGACTGGGGTGGGAGGATCGCTTGAATCTGGGAAGTTACTACAGTGAGCCAAGATCTCACTACTGTACTCCAGCCTCAATGACAGAGTGATACCCCATCTCAAAAAAAAAAAAAAAATAGAAAGAAAAAAAAAGAAAAAGAAAGTCCTGGGCTGGGCGCGGTGGCTCAAGCCTGTAATCCCAGCACTTTGGGAGGCCGAGGTGGGTGGATCACGAGGTCAAGAGATCGAGACCATCCTGGTCAACATGGTGAAACCCCGTCTCTACTAAAAATACAAAAAATTAGCTGGGCATGGTGGCACATACCTGTAATCCCAGCTACTCGGGAGGCTGAGGCAGGAGAATTGCCTGAACCCAGGAGGCGGAGGTTGCGGTGAGCCGAGATCACGCCATTGCACTCCAGCCTGGGTAACGAGAGCGAAACTCCGTCTCAAAAAAAAAAAGAAAACGAAAAAGAAAGTCATTTGGAGCAGTGTTTGAAAAATTAATATAAATTCTTTCCTTTCAGATTTTGAAATCAGAATGGACACTAACAGGAATCAAGTGCTTTCACTTTCTGATGTGGATGCAACTTCTGTTACAGATATTCAAAGGTTACTTACATATATTTCATTTGCTGGGCTTTCTGAACTTAAATTCTAATTCTAAAAGACTTCATATTAAACAGCAGTAGTAAAGCTAAGACTTGATATTTGTATGGAGCCTGCAGCGCAGCAAGAGACTTCTCATCCAACAGTGTACTCCTTAGATGTAAATGTGGGCATTATGGTTGAATACAATGGACTGCAGTTGGGCCATTTAGTGAAATAAACATTTTTTTTAAACTAGGTTTTGAAGCTACAGTTCAATAAAACAATATAATTGAAACTATCAGTTCAGTGTAAACTTTGGACAAGATACTATGATAGTGATCATAACGAATAAAGACTTGAGGCTTCTACAAAAATCAAATGCTCGATAACTATTTTGCTCTACCACCAAGACTCTTCCAGAGGTAGAGAAACTGTAGTTTTTTTAATTAAACTGTTTGTATGGGTCAGAGCTCACTGAAGCCAATCATAAGTTGTCTCCTTGGCTCACACATTACAGATAGAGTATCTCTGGGGAGAAATATGATGCTATACCATGAGAGAACATTCTGCCTCTTCAGTAGATGCATAAGATTATGCCATCATTGCACACACCCATGGGCCAGTTAGCCTTTATGGAAAGGCTCTGCTACATGGATCCTGACCCCAAGGAGCTTATATCTCCTGTTACTCCACTAGACACACACACATAAATATGATAGAAAGATGCAGAAAAGAGCATCCAAACTCTTATCTGCCCATCCCTCTTCATTCACACAGTTCTGTGACTTTCACCTCTTTCTGAATGCATCTAGCTTATTTCGTGGCCATCTTTTCAACCGCTGTCTTTCCTATCAATGTTACCCATCTCCCCTCAGAAAAGGCTTTCTCTCTGACCCCATTCAATGATCATTTTTCTTTTTCAGGTACTCCGCTATTCTGACATAATAAAATAACAACATAGTTGTTCTTAGTATAAAGTCATGAGATGTGAAGAATCTGAGCATTCCTTTAAAAATATAAAATTTATCTTAGCCAGAGTATAGAAGGCAGTACGGATATAAATGTCTGGTTTTTTTCTTTTTTTCTCCTAGTGAACTTAGTATTTCCAAAGTGCTAGAAACAATGAAAACACAAATTACACCTTCCACATTTTTGCTATATTTACAGGTTTTATCTTTTTGACAATCTTGCCTTGCCTTTCTCTTGGTGTTTTCTTCCTTCTACTTAAACTCCTGGTTCTGTGTTTTAAATGGTGCTTTCTCTGGGAGATAATATATGCAAGAAGAGCTTTCACTATTTGGTATTATTTATATCATTACTTCCACTGGTAGAATAAATAATTACACTCAAATCAGAAATCAGCAGTGCACAGAAAACCCTTAAAATTAGTGCTCTCATGTCTGACAATTTTCCTCTTCAAAGATGTAGCCATCCTTAAAGGGAACTGAGAGGTAACTGTGTGCAGTGTTGTATATTTTTGGTTTTTAAAGTAGCCTTGTATAGTGGAATATCTGCAGAGGCTGAGTAAAAGAAGTGAGGGACTAAGACAGTTAGGAATACTGAGGACTGTGGTCAGTGGAGGGCTCAACTTGGAAATCTCCAGAGAACAGGGATGCAGCGAGGCTGTCAATGGTAATATCATAACTGTTCTTGTTTTGTTTGTTATTGTTTTCAGAGTAGCTGTGCTGTGTGTTCCTAAATCTGCTTATTGTTTGGGTTCAACCCATCCCAGAGGATTCCTTGCTATGAAAATGCGGCATTTGAATGCAATGGGTTTTCGTGTGATCTTGGTAAGAAAAAATACAGATGAAATATTCTTTATTACTGATGTACATTCTCCCAGCTGCCAAGAATCTTGTGGCTGAGACTGGTTACTAGGCCTAGAGGAATTGTCAGCATTACTGGAATAAGTGCTCTAGTTACTGTTTTCTTTGAAAAAGAACATTCCTAGTACACGATTTGGGTTCTGCTCAGCTGATTACTGTTACTTACTAGAGCTTTTACAAATGTTGTTTAGGTCCACTTTAATCCTTTTTTGCTAAGAGGAAGAATGCAAATAATATATTTTTGTATTTAAGATGCACAAAACCATGTTTAATTTCTAGATTATCTTGAACGAGGAAAGGAAAGATGTTAAAGCTTTGTTTTCATGGCCTGTGTGAAGATGTTATAGGATGTTTGTTGCCAAAAAGGCTGAATGGTTTTAGGAGGATGGGTCTTCCTCTTTTCTCTTGTGCTCAGTTTGATTTTGTGCACCACAGCGTCTCTTGAACAGCCTCTTCAGATGTTTCTAGGTAGCAGAAACCTTACAAATACATTTATATCTATGTTGCTCTGGGATCTATCTAGATGCCACTCATTTGGTCCTGCACGTAATGTGAGATGTAAACATTCCAAATCTTCTATTATTATGCTTTAGTATCTTGAAATGGATTACGTGTGGACTATTGAGATTAAGATGACCCCTTTTTCTTAGTGGGCTACTACTTAAGACTTTGTTTTTTATATTATGATTATATATATTCTAAGGAAGGTTTTTCTTAAGAAAGTACTTTTTGCACCATTTAGAGGACCTTTTAAAATTTTTATAATTTTCACAGAGCTTTTTTCAACCCTAAAACATAGTCTTATGTCTTTAAAATGTGAGTAGTTATAAGGTAACATTTGCTTTCAAAAAGCTATTGTCCTCATGTTACTTTACTATGTCTGGATCTCTGAACTAGCACATTATCATCGTCTCACAAACTGATTATTTTCCTCTTTCTTTGGTAAGGTCAATAACTGGGAGATGGACAAACTAGAGATGGAAGATGCAGTCACATTTTTGAAGACCAAAATCTATTCAGTAGAAGCTCTTCCTGCCGCTGCTGTAAATTTGCAAAGCACATAATAAAATGAGAATCAACCTTTTTGTATTAGGAGACATGCATTTGTAAAAATTAATAAAGGCCACTCTCCAGTTGTCAATGGAATTAACCTATCTGCTCGCTAAGACAAAAAAATGTTAGTGCACTATTAAAATTAATTTTAAGAATGGAAGAAATGTTACTGCCATTTTAAAATATGCTGCGAAAATTCCAGAAGGGTTATTTTACTAGCCACACCTATTCCCTCTGGTGCCCAGAGAGTTGAGAAATTTGTGAGCTGTGCATTTCACCTTTTCATCTTTGATCTATTAAAAACTGGTTTCTCAGTTGTGAGGGGTCACAGGCAGGTTGACGTGGGTAGTCTTTGTGTTTGAAATCTGAATATTTATACTGCTATAAGCTGTTCTAAGACTTGGGGTTATGCCTTTAAATCATTTTCAAGCATTGGCCAGATGATAATTGGACCAGGTTCTAACATTGTCAAGTGTGTAAGAATTAGTGAGGTGGCCTGTTGAAAATGGGTGAGGATGGCATTTGCATTTGTGATAAGCACTGCAGGTATAGATCTTTCATGGGTTATAAGAGAATCACAGATGAGATAATATGTAGATGGCAAGGAGTCCAAAATTTTTTAACACCGACAGGCCATGAGTTGTTAATACCCTAAAGTCTTGCTGTTTTGGGGTCCTTCCTTTCTCTTCCTTTTTTCCCCCTTACCCCTCCCACAATTCATGAAGTCTTTTAAATTAAATATAGAGCTGAATTGTGAATCAGACCTGAGGACTATTTTTTCAATTATTTTTGTTCATTCTTTGTTCAAATATTTGTCCAAGTTCAACTATTTTGTTCAGTATACCTGTCTACCTGGTATTTGACTTGCTGGGGATATAGTGATGAATAGGCATGGTCTCTTGTGGAACTTATAGCAGGGGTTCCATGCAAGTCAGTGTTATTCTACGCCCAAGTACACAGGCTTGGAATTACTAGACATCTTAGTATGTGCTGGGCACTTATTCATTTGTGTGCTGTCCTTTCGTGATCTTAACCCTTTGACGTGTAGCTGCTATTATGATTCTCTCTGGGTCTTCATTTCCTCATCTCTAAAATCAGGATAGGTTATTTGCCCAAGACTACACGGAGTAGGGGAGGGCTAGAGTTTGAATGTGAGCTGACATGGGCTGATAAGAAAATACAAAAACTAGCAATCTGACAACAGCTGCCAGTTTGTATCAATTTACTCAGCTTGCATTTAGAAGAAGTTATAGCTGAAAGGAAATTTAGTGATTATTTAATGTTACTTCCTTCATTTTATGGATGAGGAAGGTAAGGCTGAAAGAATTTTCCTTTCCCTAAGTCTCAGCTATGCCATTGATTTCCACATCATTTCATCCTTCCCTGCTCTTCAGCTTGTGTCCCAGAAGGTCCCTGAAGGTTCAGATTCCAGATTGGACATCCTCTAGGTTTGTGTACTTGGCCAAGTGATTTAACCTTACAAGCTTCAGAACAAGATGAAAATACTCTGTTATTAAAGAAACTAAGTGTTTTTTTTCTTTAAATGTTAAGTGTGCATCAGTTTCTAGTGACTAATTAGGACTCCTATTCAATGGATTTGACAAATAAATTTATGAATACTTACAACCACTTTTGGGGTAGTAATTTTCAGTTTGACATTCCATTTATAGAACGTTATGTGTTGTGAGAGTAGTCACCCTACAAATGTCTTGGACATCTCTAAGCAAATAGAAGCTTCTGTAAGATAGAGATTTGGGAAATCTCTATCAGTTTCCTGTAGGTACAGGAAACTGTACCTACAAGGAGCTGGCATTTCTCAAATCGGCTCTCTCTCCTACTCTTTATTCATAGGGCCTGAGAGTGGCTATCAGACTAACCTGTTTGGGCTACCTTCTAGGGAGACCTAGGTGTGGAGCTTGCTGACCAGAAGGGCTTTGGCTGCCCAGAAGACAGAAGATGGCTATCTCTTAACATACTTGTAACCCATTTGTGCACACAGGTATGCTGTGACTCACTCTGGGTCCAAAAAAGTTGAGTCTCTCAGCTTGAATTCCAAATGTGACTTGGTTTCCTCCTTGCAGATGTACCTACTTGAAATTGGGAAGGCCAAATGAGATGGAGATAATGTTTCTGTCAACAAACAGCCAACAGAACTTGGATTTTTCTAGAATAGCAACAGCAGAGGCCCCCAGGTGTGGTGTGGCAGGACAAGGAGCCTCTATTTTGCTGGTGGGGGTTGTAGTTAAGGTAATGTGGCTCTGGAGCTAGCAAGTAGGCAGCATCTTCTGACATTCCAGCTTCCAGTCTGTAAGCAGAGTTAGTAGTATCTCTTCTGGACAGCCAGTTCCGTGATGGTGTCCTGAGAGTCATTCCTGGAAGTCCGACTAAAAGCTGCTCCTTCTGCCCTTCCATTCATCTTGTAAGTGGGAAGCGTCTGTGCATGGCCATAAACTAACAGAAGCACGTTGTGTCTAAGCTAGGTTACAGTGGTTTCTGTTATCAGGAAGTAAATCCTGATACTACAATATATGCACATATATATGTTATAGAGTAAAACAAATTGGATACTTTTCTTTAAAAGTTTCTGAATTTTGCTTTTTAAGAATTTCCCTTAGGTCTGGGCACAATGTCTCACACCTATAATCTCAGCACTTTGAGAGGCCGAGGCAGGAGGATTGCTTGAGCCCAGGAGTTCGAGACCAGTCTGGTAATATGGCAAAACCCCCCTCTACAAAAAATACAAAAATTAGCTGGGTGGGGTGGCATGCACCTGTGGTCTCAACTACTCAGAAAGCTGGGGTGGGGAGATTGCTTGAGCCCAGGAGGTCAAAGCTGCAGTGGGCCAAGATTATGCCACTGCACTCCAACCTGGGCAACAGAGTGACACCCTGTCTCAAAAAAGAAAAAGAAAAAAAAAATTGAAAACAATTTCACTCAGCGTTACAGACATATAATGTTACTAAGACCCACTAGGAACACCTGTGTATACTGCTGGCTGGTTTTACATGTGACCTCACCCTGAGCAGGTTTCTCTAGGCAGCAATAAAGCTTCCCAGGCAGAGGAAGGGAGAAGCCAACCCACCTGCCTTTGTTTTCTACTTGTTCTCCTTGCACCCAGTTTTCACCACACTTCCCCATGCTTTCACTACAACTCTTCCAGGCTCCTCTCAGGCAGTCTCTTCACAACAGGGGCCTCATAATCCTGAAGAAGATAGCATCAAACTTTCACCCAATTATTTCAGGCAATACTTTTCCTTTCCCTCCCTCCCTCCCTCCCTCCCTCCCTCCCTTCCTTCCTTTTTGCTTAAAAAATGCATAATAGAAGAAATACATGAAATGTATTAAATATATAAATGGGGTTTTCCTCTTGTAACTTTTAAGTTAAATTAGAGCCAATGCTATTTGAGAACCTTTGAAGTGCTCAGATGTTGCTTATACTCATCAGAAAAATACTGCTGCTATGAAGAAAACCTTTTTTTTTTCTTTTTTGAAATGGAGTCTTGCTCTGTCGCCCAGGCTGGAGTGCAGTGGGGCAATCTCAGCTCACTGCAACCTCTGCCTCCCACATTCAAGCGATTCTCCTGTCTCAGCCTCCCAAGTAGCTGGGATTATAGACACTGTCACACCCAGCTAATTTTTTGTATTTTTAGTAGAGATGTGGTTTCCCTGTATTCCTCAGGTAGGTCTCGAACTCCTGAGCTCAGGCAATCCACCTGCCTCAGCCTCCCAAAGTGCTAGAATTACAGGCATGAGACACCATGCCCAGCCTTTGTCCTGAAGAAAGCCTAGTGTTGAAGAAAATCAATCAAAGGTTAATGAAACAGAGGGGCAGAGCCCCTTTCACCAGCTTGGGTTCAGATGATGTTCCCCCCATGGCCACTGCTCCTGTTCTAGTGCAGGCTGTTGTAATGGGGGTTCCACATCATCCAGTCCACAAGCCAAGCCTCGGATGCACCTGCTCTTTACCCAGCTACCCCAGGGCAGAGCTCTGCACAACCACAGTGCTTTAAGAGAGGATGGTAACACCGCTCAGTATTTTCCTTAGAGTACTCCATAAGCCGCAGTCATTTTTCAAAGCACCCTCCAGGCCAGGGTTAAGGCAGTACAGGTTTTCCAGTCATAGCGTCCTATTTAGCTCAGTAACATTTCTTGAGTGATTTTGTAAATGAATAGCTTGAAAGAAAAACAGGCAGCCAAGGCAGTGCGGTTAAATTTTTTGAGAATGCAGATGTAAAAATACTTGTGAATTTACTCGCTCATTTTTCCAAAGGACGTACTCTGTACACTTCCTCAGAAGTATGTCACTCACATGGGGCTCTTTATAGCAACACAAACCAAGCAAGATATTTCTGAAACTCATATTTAACTGTGATTTTGATATCGTGATTTTCTTAAATTTTTTAAAAAATTGTGACAAAATATACAACATAATCTTTGTCATCTTAACCATTTTTAAGTGGACAGTTCAGTGGCAGTGAGTACATTCACATTGTTGTGTGACAATTGCTACCATCCATCTCCAGAGTCTTTTCAACTTGCAAAATGGAAACACTGTACACATTAAACAAGAACTCCTATTTCCCCTTTCTCCCAGTGCCTGGCCACCACAATTTACTTTCTGTCTCTATGAATTTTCCTACTCCAGACACCTTACAGAGTGGAATTGCTCAGTATTATCCTTTACTGACTGGCTTCTTTCACTTAGCATAATGTTTTCTGGTTCATCCATGTCGTGGCATATGCCAGTATTTCCTTCGCCCAGGCACTTTGGGAGGCCAAGATGGAAGGATGACTTGAGGTGGGGAGATGAAGACCAGCCTGGGTAACATCGTAAGACCTCCATCTCTACAATAAAATTAAAAAGACATGAGCCCAGGAGAATGAGGCTGCAGTGAACCACGATCATGCCACTGCACTCCAGCCTGGGAACAAAGTGATACCCTGTCTCAAAGAAAAAAAATTTCCTTCCTTTTAAAGTTGGAATTATATTCGATTGTATATACATACCACATTTTGTTTATCTGCTGATGGACTATTGGGTTGTTTCCACCTTTTGTATCAGTGTGTGTGTGTGTGTGTGTGTGTGTGTGTAT